TCCCCCCCCCCCCCCCGCGTTTCAACATCATCACAAAAGATCTCCTCGTTGGACTACCCCTTGGGTGCATCAAATATCGAGATTAATGAAATCGTCTGGAGCACATGAAAGTTCTTCTCTACTAACTGTCTTCTGTCTGATGCATAGAAAACGAGATAATGGATCGAGTATGACTCGAAATAGAAAGAATTCAATACTCCTGGATCTTACATTACATGCTCCACTTATTCATAACAGTCTAATCTTCTCATGTGAAACTGTCAAATACGTAGGTGTCATTTTGCCATCTGATCCTACTTGGCACACACACGTACAATCATTTGAAATTAGGTGTTACAGGGTTTCGTTTTATGAAAAGCATGTCTGAAACCACCATGCACCATATGGTGCTATCAGGAAATTAGTAATGTATTCCATAAGTGTAAACACACATATGAGGGGTCATCTTTCCACGCCTGATAGCATGCGACTTCAAGGCGCTAAGGCTTTATTGGGACAAGTCTCCAAAATAAGTATTCTTTCGCACAGTGACCTTCTGAGGCACTTTGCTGACTTAACGGTCCTTCATGGCATTTGCATGGGTGGGAAAAGCATGGAGAATGGTAGGCATCCATTGTATGAGAGACTCTCGCAACGGCAGGCGGCAGTTTCATCAACAGGATGCAGGTGCGTCAAGGATTTTGCCAAAACATAATTCTGTATTAGATATGTATTGCCAGCTTTAGCACACGTTCTATGAACTACCTCAGGCGTTAGACAACAGAACTGAAATTAAGCTGGTGCCACGTAGTTTTCTTTCGCTTTGTTTTGTGAAAATTTTTATTTTCTAGTTATGCACTGGTTTCACTGATGGTTCGTCTGCTGATGATTTATCTTGGTTCGCACTAAGCTCTCAAGTGCAATGCTTTTCTGTTATATGTACATCATCAGCCACATCATGTTTTTCCCAATTTTCTTCTGCTATGTAAAATGGGATTTGCTGACAACCCCGTTCAAGGGGTGAACTTTCATTTCATATTAACGTAGTGTGTATTCATGTCTTGCACCAAATTCGTGTCAGAGTGTTTTTTCTCTAAGCCGAATCGCCATACGATGCATAAAGAATCAATCCATTCTGCCACTGTTTCATTAGTTGATCGATCCAGCTCTTTAACATTCCTCCGAAGCGTACATGCTAAGGTTCCACTGTGTTAAAGTGGTAACGTATATATCGGTACCTCTGTCCGAAACGTCAGATGTCCCTAATTAAAGAACATTTAATGCGTTGTCTTCCCGTTTGTGACTTACCTGCCTCATAAAGAAATCATGTACGTATATATATATATACGGTCTTCTGACAAACTTTTACATGACAGACAAAACAAAACTAATGAGAACTGCTGACGTCATTTGGAGCCACGAGCAGTAATAGAAGAACAGCAAAACGTTTGTCAGCTCGTTCAGCGTTATTGGAAAAATCCAAGTTCTGTCCATCCTTTCATCATGTCTGGAAAAATCGATCGCTCATATTCATAACATCAACGGTTTGTGTGAATCTAGAGATTCTGACGTCAATCATCCTGCGTTTATGACCGTCAAACAACCGAAAGGCGGAGGATATTTTGGAAATCATGACTTTTAGCATGATTACGTATGTAGCAATGTTTGATATGTTAATCAAATTCTGCGAGATAGAGACACTCATAACGAAAATGAGTAGATCAGAGATGAGGAAGAAGAGCAAAATGAACAGGGCAAAAGCGAAGATGCAGCTTATCGTTTTAGCAAACCGGAACAGTGATCATCTATCGAATTTATTTTTTAATTTCAAAACAGTCAGGGGGTCATTCTTTCATTAACTGACGTGACTTCTGTTTATAATATCTTGTTATCCATCAGCAAAAAGTTTTGATTATCAGCTAAAACAAATAATGTTACACTCAGCAAC